GTCTGAGTTTTTTTGGCTGAATTGTCTCTCTTTTAAATTGGCTGAATTATCTGTGGCTGATTTGTCTCTGTGTCAAAATAAATTTTTAGAGATTAAACACCCGATTTTGTTTTTGAATCTGTCTGGTATGGTAGGCTTTGAACCAATTAAAGATTCTTCGATCTGTTCGGAAAAAATTTGTTTCTGATTTTTCAAACGACTGGATCTATTTTAATTATTTTAATTAAAGAGTAAGTTATTGCACAATAGACTGGAATAGGGCAGAATCTCATAGAAATTATGGATACTGCTGAATCAGATATCACTATCCCTGCGAGCAGGGATTCAATTTTACAAAAAAAATGAAAAACGGTTTTTGAAAAAAAATTGCAGTTATTCGGTTCGCAATTACAGTATTGTGTAGAAAAAATTATAAAAAAGACTGCTCGTATATCAGGACAAAGCCTTGAATGTTCCGACTTCACCCTAATTCACATCGAATAGTTTTTGGGGAAAAAATATTGAAAAGCTATAAATATTGGAAAATATCAATGTGTAAAATTTTGAGTCAACGAAATTAATACAACCAATTTGCTAGCCTCAATTCAATTTGAAACGATTTTGTTGTGCGGGATATTTCGCGCTTTGGAACACGCAGAAATAATTCGCGTTGCGCTCTAAGCGTTCCAAAGCGCGCAAAATTTGGTCCACAAGGCAAATTTGGCAATTTTCAAAATCCCAGAACTTCTTATATTAGAATTCAGGAAATCGATGTCTTCAATGGGGCATAAAAAGTTTAGATGAAAATAATTATTGCGATCGGTGAAAATTGACTGAAAAAAAAACACACCGAGCATAAATATTCCGTTTTCTTCGAAAGTCGGAACAATAACCAAAAGCGGGCTCAGTGGATTTCTGACGATTTTTGCAGGCTGTATCAAGCGATATCTGATTTAAGTGACAGGAGTATTTATTTACCACGAGCAGAATCGTTGGAGCATGTAGAGACTTGTGAAAGGATAAACTTGCTCGTGCTCTATGGTTATACAAATATCTTTTCCATTCATTGTGTATTCTAAGTAATTATGCGGACAAATCCACTCTGCATCGGAAGCTTCTGTGAAATGAATTTAAAAAAACGCAAAAATTATTATAACCAAAATTAAGCGAAACATCATTTAGACTTAGTGAAAATTCAGTAGACGCAGTTTTGAAGTGCAGCTATGGTCACAGATTACAACTTTATTTCAAATGATACCATAAAACCATATGTTTGACAATTTGGTGTTCTAATTTTTCCAACTGTTGTCTGAAAAGCCCAGAAACGGAACGTGGCAAAAGTAAGTATGGTCGCCATTTTATGCGTTGCTTGAAAGGTTTAAATTGACGATTGTCTTCATTTTCTTCATTTTTTCTTGGCGGACTCCAAAGTCTAGCAACAGATGGCAAAACTTGGCTGTCTGACATTATACCCTTTAAAAAACTACGTTATTTCACGACCTGTTTCGAAAACTTGCAGCTGTTATGCTTTCTTATCTTTGATGAACTGAAGCATAAAGTTTGCCGACCAAAGAAATATTATTATATTAAAAAAAGTACATCAAAAATTGTTGAAGATCATGAGACTGTTAAGAGCATAAAAATTCATTTTGTGCATGCCTGAACGATGCAAGATTTATGTTGTTTTTCCATACTTCTGTTGACCTCAAGAGCTTTGTTAAGTTACAGTTGGCTCTAAATGATAATCTTCAATTGGATAAATTTAACTTAGAATCTTGATCGAGGGTTCATTAAAAAATCTATCAACAATCAAGCTCTTACAGGACAAATTAAAAGCGAAGCTTTCAATTTTTGCCAATTTTTTTTTGTGGCCGTCTAATTGTTCGGAAAAATTAAACCAAAAATGTCTAGAGAAATTTTTATGAATTTTTACGAGAGAATATGAAAAAATGAACTATTGATATAACGATACAGAAAATTTTTAGAAAAAATTCATTGAGCAGTGTTGGTTAATAGCAAATATTTAGTCAGTCTCCAATTTCATTGCTGTTATTCGAAACCCGAGATGACCAAAAGCTTATGCAGAGTTCGATTTTTTACGGCACCTTTAATTCTTTGCTAACTTGCGACAAAGTTACTTGGCAATAACTACCAAAAACACCCGCGATTTTATTTTCAACAATTTTGTAGACTAGAAAAATATCAGTTTCAGTATCACAAAAAAATGTAGCTTAAACAATAAAAATCAAAATTGAATTGGAACATTGTTAACTGGCGTTAATCCATTTTTTTTGTTTTTTTTCTTTTTATTTCAATTGTTCCGGTGTTTATGAGGCGTTGTTTTTGAAAGAACTAAAATGTATTCAAATCCAGTCAATTCGATATTTTTTCATTCGATTTTCTCTTTGAAGTTTTCGATTGAATAAAAGAAATCAACCCTTTACTTATGTGTTGTTTATCGTCGATATTACTGGAACAGCAAAAACTAAATCATCGTGAACCGCACTTCTACAACTATTACGTCCTAAATGATTTTTGAAAAAGCAAAGTTTTCGTTAACATCATAAATTAGCCAATGTTTGAGTTGAATATTTTGAAAAACAAATTTTTTCTCAAGGTAAATGTTGTTTAATTAATAATTTCTAACCATTAATGTTTCTAGCCATTTTTTTTAAAATTTAATTTGAGTGATGTCTTTCGTATACAGAACCAATTCATAATAATTGGTAGAAAAAAAATGAAAAATTAACATGTAATATCAGCATTTTTCATTCAACTTTTTTGCGCAGTTTTAAATTAAAATTTTGCTTTCCATAAAAGTCTGCGTCTATCGAGTCTCACGTGATATTTTTTCGTGTGCAAAAACACCAATGTTTTTTGGGTCAAACTTCGTGTGTTTTTTGTTTCAATGTTTCTTTTTTTTTCAGCTAATTATATTTTGAGATCAACTTATTTTAGAATTCCTTGTCAAAAAACGTATGTCTTTTAAATGATTAAATTTTTTCTTCCAGAAATTTTCTAAACAATGTTCAAGCTTTCTAAAACTTTTCAATTTTTCTCAGGAGCGTTGTTAATTGTTTCAATTTTTTCAAAACAAATAATTCCGAATCTTGAATGAGACATTTTTTTTGTTGCTTATTACAAGACTGTTTGTCGCCAATATGATTGCCAAAAATTCGAAAAGGATATACGCTATTGTTCTGTTTTTATCACATCTATTTCCCTTACTGGTCCTGATAGTTTTGTAAGGTACCTAATGGAACTTAGATTACCTAAATTTGAGATAAAATATTTTCTAAATTGTCTGCGGCGGAGTAAGTTTGAGGCTGCAAAAACAGCATTTATCAAATTATTTGACAGATTAACATAGCCTGAAAAAACAATTCTCAAGACTTAAGATAACTAGTTTATTTGACCACCATCCACAACACAGCTTCTACTAACAATCTCATTGAGCAATCTTTTTTTCGTTAAATGAATTCTATTCAAACAAGCTACTGCTTTTACTGAAAAACTTACAAAAACTGACACCCCTGCTAATTTAACTAGCTAATTGTTTTGCCAAGAAATTATCTATCTTAGCAGAGAAAAAAATTGAACTCTCAGATTTGATGAAATTCGTACGAAGGCTGTCCTTCACAGTGCAAATTTTAGCAAATTAAAGTTTTCAGCGAAAAATTTTATCTCTAGAATTGACATTTTTTTAGCGCGCATTTTGCTAATTGCTGTTGTTCAAAACCCGATACGTCCCAAAGTGTATGCAAAATTCATTCGATGTTTTACATAAGATTTAACGCTCTTCTAACTTGTGACAACATCCGCACTGAACAAAAAGAATTAAGGTCAATTATTTGATCAAAAAATATATTAAAATAAATAAAAGTATATAATATAAATTCAGATAGACTTCAGTACTTAAAGTTATGTAAATTAACAACGAAAATCAAGATTGATTTTTAATTAAATTTTGAGATCAGAATAGCGCGTTTTTTTTGCAATTCTAGCAAAAAAAACTGATTAAAATAAATTTGAAACGGATTTTTAGACACATTTTTCTTACTCAAGGGTCTTTTAAAATGGAGTTAAATTGAATTTATCAAGGTTTGGATGGAATAAAGTAAGATTCAATAATATTTAAGTGATTTAGAAAATCCATCAAAGATGGCTTAAATTAATTTTTAGTGCTTTAATTGGTCCACAGTTTCAAAGAAGATGGATTGTATTCAGTTCATAAATAATTTTAGTTCCTAAAAAGCATGGTTAATTGATTTGGATTGATTTAAAATCAAGTTAAATCGATCTTAATCCATTTTTGCCAGTGCGCGAATTAACTATTTTAAAAACTATAGTTTCAATTTTTCTTTTTACTTACTAATTTCTCACCAGTGCAATATAAAGTTTCACTAATTTCCAAAGGTCGAAAATAAGAAGCAAAATGTCGTTGTATGAAGTTTCGTAACAAAAGTAACTGAATATTTTTGCTCCGAAGTTTTTTTTTGTTCAGACAAATTTCGAATTTTTAACAAGCCATTTTTTGACAGAATTTATTAAAATAATTCAAAAAACATTTTTGTCCTGAGCTTAAATTTGAAAAATTATTTCACTTGTGATCATTTTTTCTAAAGTTATGGTAGTTTAAAGATTGCCATTTGGTCAATTTCGGGACAATTAATGCGCGATATTTTTTGCGCTACTAACGCGTAAGCGGAGATTTAATTCGTCTTAGAAATCGTTCAAAATTGGTTGAAGGAAGCTTATTTGCCGTAACTGTTTTGTTTCTAATAGCAAATTTTATCCCTTTGTTTTTTTGGCAGTTAGTTTATTGACTGATTAATGTTTGGCTGAATTTTTGAATTTTTGGCGTGTGGGGTGATAATTTTTACAAAAAATCTCAAATTAAAAAAAATCATTTTATTTTATTACATTTAAATTTTTCATGTTATTACTGCTTTATAGACCTGAAAAGGCAGTCGGAACATTCAGGGCTTTGCCCTGATACGAGCAGTCTTGTTTTAATTTAGATACTGTGTGAGAAATACTGGCCCGAGCTGACCTCAACTTACGGAGATATCGGAGTCGAAAGAATATCGGAAGACGTGCGGGCATTTTTAACTGTGCGCAGGTTCAAACTCACTCTAAACCAGAAAAACAACAACAATAACAACAAAATCAGCAATAGTCAAATCGGTCCCTGTGTTTCTCCCTACAGAAAAGCATCAACAGGCAGAACAATTTGTCAACAGGTTTTGATTTTTCACAAAATTTTTGGTTTGACAATACGAGTAAAATAACTTCTTTCGAGCCCCATAATTTGTTCGACTGATTAATGTGTGACTGAATTTTTGAAATAAATTCATTACAGAAATTTGTTTTCAAATGCATTTTAATCAAAATTATAATTTAAACCAAATAGGACTATTGCAACTATTACAGTTTTAGTCACAGTGATTTTTTACTAAAGCATATGCCTAATTAAAAGCAATCGTTTAATCAAATCGAAAAAGCATATATGAACTTTTTATTGTTTTTTTCCAGCTCTTCAAATTCATTGTATAATTCTATACACATTTGATTTTTTTCTGCAGTCTCTCCACTTTGTGGAACAAGGAGGGATGTGTCAGCCGCAGGAACGTCACGTGACTCAGTACCACTTCACAGACTGGCCATTCACTGCAGCCGGTGGAGCAGATGACTCATCCTCCTCTTGTCCCTCTCCCCCTCCCCCTCCCCCTCCCCCTCCCCACCCCTCGGCTCTGCTCTCTCTGATCAGCAGAGTGCAAGCAGACCCCGCTGCACTACTCGGGCCAGTATTAGTGCACTGCAGGTGAGAACAAACTGTACACCCTTCGTAGGTATACCCAGCCGAAGTATCAACCAGCCGAAAATACGTACGTTTTACATAATGGTTATTCAACAATTATGTAACAGTTACAAAAGTTGTGCAAATTTCTTTCATATGATGTAACTTTTCGGCTGGCTTATACATTTTGCACATTTTCGATGAGTTGATACTTCGGCTGATTTATTTACCTTCACTGTCTTAGAGCACTAACTCGATTTGCTATGCTGTTTTAGTGAACTACAACAATTCAAATCCCAACTTTTTTTAGTTTCAGTGTTATCTAAATTTTTACGAAATGTTTTTTTTAACTTCGTCATTGTCTAATTTTCATCTAATTTTTAAAAATCTTGTCTTTGCATCATCCAAGAGATCCAATATTTACACATTAGCCTATGGTATAAAAAGCTGACAAGGATGATTTTTATTTAAGTAATGCTGCAAACAGTTTTGAAATTTTTTCTTGCGTAGTGCATTCGAAAATAATTAAATTGTTATATTAAATTTATTATATTATATTAGATTATAATTAGATTATTCTAATTGATAACGACATAAGCAAACTTACTTTCTCCTGTGCTTTCAGCGATGGATTGGGTAGCACTGGGTGTTTCGTGGCCATAGACTCGATGGTTCGAATGATCAAAGAGACAGGCTATGTGAATGTGGGCTCATTCCTACTCCATGCCAGGGGTCAGAAGGGGACGATGGCCCAGCAACGCCAGCTGGTACAGAATGAGGTCAGTTGAATTCAGGGGTGCATCTAAGATTTCCTCGAGTGTGGGGTGGGGTTCAAAACATGTCCGAAACTGGTTTTTCATGTCCAAATATAATTTCTGGGCTCTCCCAAATCATTAAAAAGACCCTATTTGTTGCAAATTTTTTGTGCAGCGCGCAAATTTTTGGAAAAAAACGGGCCAAAAACGAGTGTTTTGTGCTCTTTTTGGAATCTTTTGACCTAAAAATACTGCTTTTTGTGCACATTCTACCGTCAAAACTGGTACTAAAGTCGTCTGCAGAAAGATTTTAGGATTGGTCGTCCGAAATTGGATACAGTAAAATAGTACCAAAGTGGCCCTTTTGGTAGCTTGGGGGTCGAACCGCTGAGAGGGAGTGAGAATTTTTAATGCGGCCTAAGAGCTTCCGCCATAATTAATCATTTTCATCAAAAATGCTCTGAATAAAAAATCGCAATCAACAAAAATATATTAGATTGTTCTCCGAGTTAGATTTTGAAATGATAGCATGTTTTTCTTCAGCATCAATACCTGCTGATCTACAAAGTGTTGATGGAGTTTGTCAGAAGTGGATCCTCGTCGACTACACACTCCCTAACAGAACTATGCCAGATGCAGGTAGGGCCATACTTGATCAATGTACCATATATGGACCTAGATTAAAACATAAAACCACAACTCGATATTGAATGCTGACCTTTAGTCTCAAAACTGCGCTCTGAATGTTTAATGCAAAATTTTTTGATAATTATCAGGAAGCGGAAAAACAGGTAAATTTTTGGACAAAAAGTTCTTTTTACTTTTTGGTGGCCTTTTTTTACTTAATTAAAAGCAAAATAAGTGGAAAAAAGAACATTTTTTTTCTGCTCGCTGATAACTATAGTATTCTCTCGCTTCAGCTAAAACTACTCAAACAACAACAACTACAAGCCATTTCAAACACGCCCACAACTGAAACAACCGATCAGGCAACGCCTCTTGATCATGTCTCCAACCTACAGTTAGGAGTTAATAAAAACGACACAAAAACTAATCACGTGACTCCGAGTTCTGGGCAGAAGTTGAAGGCGGTCATGACTAAGATCAACAAGGAGTTCCAAGTTAGTTTTCACAACATACCTTTCACACTGAAAGTTTTCGCAACTAACAGATGCAACTTAAAATTATTTCATTTTTCGTTTCAAACATCTTTTTTCTTCATTTGTTCTGATTAGGGTCCTAATTAGGGACTAATATTTACTCTTAAAATGTCTACTTTAAAAAGTTTTCTTTTTTTTTAATTTTGCTTTTTCTTTTACCAAATTATTACCAAATCATTTTTAATTAAATTTTTTCGGTAAATAAATTCTTCTATGAAACTCTTTTTGCCCTCATGAAATTGAATGTATTTTTGAAAGTGTTTCGAGATGTTCTTTTGGTGCTAGTGGAAAGAAGTCTTAATTTTTGCTAGTGTCTTTCTGCGCTGGCGTCTGAAGAAGAGATTAGATGGAGAAATGAACAACTGCACACTGCCCTATCGGAAGAAAACAAATCACACAACAGGTCATCCGAGTGCATTCCATGTGAGAAACGCTATCTTCTCTAGCTAACTCTGTTACAAATATTTTTAATAACTAGTGATAATGGCCATAAACTGAGTAAAAATGTAGTTTTCTTCAGAGGGAGCAATAAATTGATTGCAACCAATGTTTTAATTTAAGGTCGTGACACTGTTTTCTTACGAGAATAAATGGAGCAAAAAATAAACAAATAAGAGAAATAGCACTTGCTCAGAAAATGATTTCAATATCGACCCCTCCATCTCCCCTCCCCGCCTTCCTCCCCCAACAATTTCAACAATTTCGAGGAAGTAATGTTTTTTTTGCGCGCGTTTCCCTAGCTTAAGAAATATAATAGCATCTGTTACCAAAAAAAAACACAAAGCAGTAAAAAGGTTACAAAGTCAAACAGTGATGGTGGCGAGGAAACACGTTTAAACCAGCAATCAAATGAATGATCAATTCTGGCTTAGATGAAAGAAGCAGGGTTAAGCTGAACTGGACCAGTCCAAATTCTGACCTCCTTCCACCATCAGAAGAAAGCCCCTCTCAATACATCAACGCATCTTTTGTACCAGTAAGACTTATTAAAAATCTCTGTCTGTAACTTACTTTTTTTCTGCTGATGTTCTTAGTTGAGGTCGCTCTGTGTGATTCTTATCTTAAACGATTTTGGAACAATCTTCCATCGATTAACCAATTTATTAATTTTCCCCCATTGGCTACTCACAGGGTCAGTCTGTTTGATTCTCCTGCTATCACCACATCGACAAAACTTTTTAATTTCAGCAAAAGCTTCTGACGCAAAAAATATTCTCAAATATTTACGTTTTATACTTATTCTATTTAGGTTTATTTCTCATATTTGTTTGATTTTTTAAAATAATTATAGGGTTGTTCCTTTTATGTTATATTTTCTTGAGAATCGATCATTGTAGACGGCTCAACTAACAGGAAGTTATATTAGCAAATCAGAATTGAGTCAATCTCAAACAGTTTTTAATGTCATGAAAATAATAGTCTCCATCTTCAACGACTCTGTGTTTTTTAAACAGGGTTTCAACAATGAGCGCGAGTTCATCATAACCCAGTACCCAACTGCACGTACAGCCTCATTGTTCTGGAGTATGGTCTACCAGCATAGAGTGAGGGCCATAGTTCTCCTAGGAGACATACAAGGGGGACATACACAGCAGCCACACGAGGAACACAAGGTATGGTCCAAACTACAGGTCATATAAAATTTGAGACCACTACAACAAAATCGATTTTTTTTGCCCTAGTACTTGTAGTTTGAAGATTTTTTTAATGAATTTTTCTAATGGCATAGTCATGGACGCTCAAGGAAGAAAAAGGAAGCTTACAAATTCCTAACAATCAACTAGAGATTTGAGCTTTTTGTGGTAGTTTTATTCTTAACCCACGAGTTTTAAAAATTCAACGATAAAACTCGAAATCTCTCCACTTTCTCAAATTTCAAAATTTCTCTGCAGCGCCTAAGAACGGCTTTGTGAACTTTTTGGAACCTGATCTAAACTACATTTTATGATTGGATAAATTAGATATTTTACCAATGTAAAGTATTTAATATTAACCAATCATGATCCATCTAACTAACAACCCACTTATTTGTAAGTGCTGAAGTTACTTGTAATTTCAGCACCAGAGAGATTTGAATTTAACTTAGAAAATAGTTGGACTCTCCCGAGCACTTCAGCAGCCGCAATAAACCAGTATACCCTAGATCTATTGAGCCTAGCAGAGACTAGTTAAACAACCTGAGACTAGATAGTATAAGAGTAAGATTAGGATCGGTATTAGACTAAGAAGTTGCACGAATCTATCCGGCCGAAAATAAGATAGCGTGACGAGCAGACGGTGTACCCTATCCGAAATTACTCTATGAGTTATACACACCAGTCCTAACTCATCTGGTGCGACCATAAGTCTCGAACAAGACCTTAATAGCTTAGAATTAACCAAAATAGATTAGAAATTAGACAAAAACATTTACAAAATGTTTTACGACAATAATTTAATCGAAATGTCTCTACGACTCAATAGATCAGAGCCAATATTCCGAACCATAACAGAACTACCCGGAATTGGAAGAAGACCTCGAACCAGAGACGACATACGACAAAGTAGAAACTTGCCATATAGCTATATGATAGTTAGGCAAAAACCAGAACAAACTTTTATATTTAGAATACTACTGGCAATGAATTTAGATTTTCATTTGCAAACATAAAACCTTGAAGTTAATCTTCAAAATCATTTCAGGCGCTAAACAAAATTATTAATATACAATAACGATTGATAAAAAGATCTAAGATCGTTTTCCTAAAACTCTGCAGTAATATACAAAACATGTTTGAAAAATATTTATTGAAAAATAAAAAATAAAAATTAGTAGCATGACAATAAATGGTTAGTAATCATAAATCATCCTGTTGTTCCAGCTCCATCACCTAAAACATAACAGCAATCATAAACCCACTAATATCATCAAAACACTAAATCTTTCCTTTACACACATTTAAAATTTTATTAAAACTTAAATTCACTTAATTTTAAAACCAGATCATCAAGGCTTATCCTTGGATCTTAAATCATTTTCTACTTAATTAAATTTCAAATTTGATCATCAAGGCTTATCCTTGGATCAAACAGAACAACTTTGTTCTCCCCCACCCACTTAATTAGTGTCTAACGACCTCAAACGTCGATTCACTACCCAACCCTTTCTAAAGACCTAAGACTAATAGAAATTTTAAAACAAAACTAATCATTCAAATTAGGATAAACAGTGAAGAACTTCGGTTATTCATCCTTCACTTGACCCCCCCTCTTACCAGACCCAGGATAAATCTTAGACTTAGTAAGTTTAAAATAGTATCTAACGAACTACTCGCGTTCTAATTATACCTGAACCCTGTGGATCGATTTACTATTCTCCAACCCTTGAACACAATCACTACCCCTAAGTAAGATTAAGTAAGTTAACACCTTAACTTATACTAGCCACGAGAAAGTAAAAAATCATTCTTCGGAATCGATATACTTTTCTCTCCAACCCTGAACAAATAGACCCAGGTTAAGCTAACCAAAAAATCGTAAGAACTAACAGTTTAGGAAAATAGAAACCATTTAACAACCTTTTGCATCCGTCATCCTAAACCTTATGTCATTTAAAAACCTAGGAAATAAACAAACAATCGTTTTACACAATTGTGAAATAGATAACAAAAAATACGACCTTGTAATCACACCTCATACACAAACAGTTGGATACATTCGAACAAAACGACAAACACTAAAAAGAAAAATAATAACGAAACAAAGACAAATAACACGAAAAAGATTTTCAAAAAATCGAAACACATTTTCAGAATCAGAAACCAACAGTTTAGACGAACTTTACAAACTAAAAGAATCAATAGATAAAAATTGCCCACTTCACGATCAATTATATTTTTCTGACTCAGAAACAACTTCAAATTCATCAAAAAGAGGAAAGAGAAGAATAAAAAAGCAGTATAAACACAAACCAGTACATTTTTACAATTGGAATCAACCAATTCGACACATTAATAATTACATATTAACAGTCATCGAACGAAAAAATGAGCTCAACGCACACCCCAGGTGACGAAACCTCAGATGATGATGAAATCTTTCCTTTTATAGTAGATGCAACCACTGATAGAGGACAGCATATATTTTGCAAAAATTTACTATTAAATTTATTTGAACCCGGAATCAGTCCATGTAAAACAGAGTTCCCAGATGTAAAAATCAAAAGACAAATCATAGACCACTAATACTCAAGAAAAACGCAATCACCTATTTAGACGATGTTTTTATGCAATCACAAACAAAAGACGAGATGTTCAATGTTTTAGAAAAATATCACCAAATACTTCAGAACGAAAATCTGAAGGCCGCCCCCGATAAATCACACTTCTTTTTGACAAGAGTTAAATTCTTAGGACATAATATAGAAAGAAAAACAATCACTCCATTGAAATCACGCATTGACGCTATTCAAAAACTTCAACCACCAACAAATAAAAAGAAAATCCAAGAATTTCTTGGAATGTTAAACTTTTTAAGTAAATATGTTTATAAAATGCAATTATATCTACGACCATTTTATAACATCCTTAGACAACAAAATAATTTTGAATGGAACACAGAACATCAAACACGATTTGAAGAAATAAAGAAACTTTTAACTGAACAAATTTCAAACACAATTCCAGATTCAAATCAACCATTTTATGCAATGTGCGATGCTTCGAACTTTAGCATCGGTGCAGCACTATTACAATCACATAATGGTACAAATAAAATGAACCTCATATCAGCAAATTCTCGATTATTCACTCAAGCAGAGCTACGACTCTCAACTCTAATGAGAGAATGTACAGCCATAATATATACACTGACAGAATATGAATTTCTGATACTTGGATCAAAACACCCCACAGTTTTATTCACAGACCATAAACCAATCATCTTTCTCTTTACACAAAAATCTAACCCAAACCACCGAGTTTACAGATTTCAACTAATTCTAATGAAATTTCCAAACTTACATATAGTTTGGACTGCAGGAAAAAATCTTGCATTACCAGACACCTTAAGTCGAAATACACCACCTGAATTACTTACACGAAAAACAACAGTTGAAATACCCAAAAACATAAAATTCTACCTTGCAGAAAACGAAACATCACCCCGATTGGAATGCAAATATGCAGTAAAAACTGATATTGAACAATCACAAATAAATAGTTTACAACATTTCCCACTTTATTTAGATTGTCAAAATAATCATTATGAAGTTGATCTACTTGGAACATCAACTTTCAAACCAATCCCATATTCTCAATGGATAAAAAATAACACCCAACAAAAACGAACAAAACAACACCCACCTAAGAAAGACCATTTTCCACTAATTGAAAAAGAAAATTTAACTGATAAAATAAATTTATCAGGACCACAAACAAATGATTCAAAATACACAATAAATCAAGTTTTTGACCTCTACGACCCACTTGATACAATACCCTTATCTAAATTCGAAATTGAAAACATTTTTCTCCCTCCAACAGAAACAATTACAATTTCAACACTGAAACAATATCAAAATCTTGACCCGATAACTAGACAACTAAAATCATGGCACAAATATAAAACTAAACCTGTCAAGGCAGATTCAACCATTCTAGGAAACAAAACACTCCTCCGATACTTTCGCAAATTTAACAACACAACAATTAACGAAAATACAGACCTTTTAGAGTATAACCTGAATGAATCTACAGTTCCCTGTCTCCCTTTAAGTATGATTCTTATAGCTTTTAATATTTCACATACACAAAATATTAAAGGACACTCTGTATCAGAAAAAACATATTCAAATTTTATACAAAATTTTTACTTCCCAAATGCACCAATTTGGATAAAAGTACTATGCAATGATTGTATAGTATGTCAACTAAATAAACCTTACCCAAATCAAAAACAAATAGCACAAAAACAAGATTTTAAAGGACAAAGCTTGTACTTTAACCATCGTATCTCATTTGATACTAAAGGACCAATTTCACCCTCATCCGAAGGAAACTCCTACATTATGGTAATTGTTGACGCATTTACACATTATGTAGCACTTAACCCAGTACCACATTGTAACGCTTATTACGCTTACACAACACTCTATGAACACTGGATAGCAAAATTCGGACTACCAGAAATTTTAGTTACAGACAACGGTACAGAATTCATAAATAATGAAATCATCACACTATGTCATTTATATAACATTAAACACAAACCACGTACATCTCATGCACCTTGGACAAACGGCTTAGTCGAAGGTATGAACCGTTCATTACAAGAATATCTTAGATGTATCATCAACGGAAATGATACAAAATATACCGAATGGTCAGCAGATGTAAAATTATTTCCCTTAGCATATAATTCACAAATTACGACAACTTTAGGAATGTCACCATACGAAATGGTTTTTAACCAAAAGCCACGCAAACCAATAATGTTTACAGCAAATTCTCATAAAAACGCACAAGGTTATTGTCAACCAAATAAAGATTCAATTTGTTATAACCTACCTTTACATACACACGATGAAGATCATTTTCATCACCCACAAATTCTTAAACTAGCCTCCGGTACACAC